TGAAGCGTAATTATCAGTTGGATACCTAAAAAATGTTCACATTTTGTGTTTTGTTTTTGAAAAATTGAAGTTAGATAAGAGTCTTATCCAAGCTCTTTGTTATCTCCAAATATAGTCTTTGGGTTCTTTGGCTTTTCTAAAGGCTCTCACTGTTCTGCTTTCAAAAGCTCCTTAGGAGTGAGCGTTTTTGGCATGTTCTGGGCCCTGGATTTCTCACCGACAAGGACTTGAGGGGCAAGACACATCATTCACAATCAGATTGTGGAAGAGCGCTCTTCCTTTGAAAAATGTTGTGCTATTAGCTAAAAATTGAGCCACAGCTGGAAAGTGGAGCTGGGTACATGGAGGATGTTTTTAAATTGGTATGAAGAGGAGGGGAAGGGAAAAAAAGAAGTGGTATAAATGCCTCTAGCAGAGATTTTGACAAATGTCTGGGCCGAGGTGAAAGGCTCTTTCTGCAGGATTTTTTTTTTAACTTATGTTTCCTTTTGTTTGAAAATATCTTAGAGTTGTTGTTGGGTCTATTTTATATGATATTGTTTTACAATAAAGTAGCAATTAGGTAAGCTGGAGCAAAGATCTGGGCCAGGGCATTAAAGACACAGTGGATATTAAAATTTAACATACAAAACTAAAGAGAAAATAAAAAAGTCAGTGGTTTCCAGGAGTTGGGGAAAGGGAAGATGGAGCACAGAGGACTGTTAGGCAGTGAAAATACTCTGTCTGATACTACAGTGGTGGATATGTGCCATTATACATTTTCCCAAAGCTATAGAGTGTACAATATCCAGAGTGAACCCTAATGTAAAGTATGGACTCTTGCTGGTTATGATGTGTCAATGTAGATTCATCAATGGTAACAAATGTGCCATTCTGGTAGAGAGAGGGGTATATGGGAAATCTCTGTATTATCCACTTAATTTTTCTATGGACCTAAAACTGCTCTAAAAAATAAAGTCTATGGAAGTATCTGTATCTCTATCTCTATATCTATATCTCTATATCTATCCCAATAGCTTGGGCATTTGCTTATGCTTGGCTGCTATGGAAAAGAAAGTTACAGAATTCTCCTCTAAGAGTATTATGAGATGAACTAGAGGCCTGGTGCACAAAAATTTGTGCACTCGGGGGGGAGAGGGGGTCCCTCAGCCCTGCCTGTGCCCTCTCGCAGTCTGGGACCCCTCAGGAGATAACGACCTGCTGGCTTAGGCCTGCTCCTGGGTGGCAGAGGGCAGGCCCAATCCCTAGGTGCAGCCCCTGGTCGGGCTCAGAGCAGGGCATTGGGGAGTTGGGGCGCCGCCCCCTGTCATGCACAGAGCAGGGTGGATGGGGAGGTTGCGATGCCACCCCTAGTCACGCTTAGGGTAGGGCCGATTGGGGGGTTGGGGCACCGCCCTCTGTCACACTCAAGGCAGGGTCGATGGGGAGGTTGCGGTGCCACCCCCTGTTACGCACAGAGCAGGGCCGATCAGGGGTTTGGAGCGCTGCCCCCTGCCATGCACAGAGCAGGGCTGATCAGGGGGTTGGGGCGCTGCCCCCTGTCACACACAGAGCAGGGCTGATCAGGGGGTTGGGGTGCTGCCCCCTGTCACACACAGAGCAGGGCCCATCAGGGGTTTGGGGAGCTCCCCCTTGTCATGCACAGAGCAGGGTCAATCAGGGGTTTTGGGAGCTCCCCCCTGTCATGCACAGAGCAGGGCCGATCAGGGGGTTGGGGAGCTGCCCCCTGTCACACACAGAGTAGGGCCAATAGGGGAGCTGGGGCACCGCCCCACTGTCACATACAGAGCAGGGCCCGTGGGGGGGGGGGGGTAGTGAGGCGCCACACCCTGTCACACTCCAGGGCAGGGCCGATGGGAAGTATGCTCTACCCCGTCTCACATAGAGCAGGCCCGTGGGGGGGGTTGGGGCGCCACCACTGTCACACACAGAGCGCAGGGCGATCAGGGTGTTTGGGCGCTGCCTCCTGTCACGCTGGTCCCGGTGCCGGGAGAGCTCGCGGCTCTGCTGATCCCTCCCGGCAGGGTCACAGATCCGGGTTCCAGACCGCAGACAGCTTTGCCTGCTGCCACCGCCTTCAGTATGCAAATTAGCCGCCATCTTGTTGCTTCAGGGTGGGGGTCCCCACTGGGGTGCCTGGCCAGTCTGGCTGAGGGGCTGAGGGCTGTTTTCAGGCTGGCGGGCGACTGAAGCTCCAAACCTCTCCTTTTTTTCTTTTTTTTTTATTCTGGCATTTATTTACCTTCTATGGCTGTCACTGGAGCTGAGAGCCGGCTTTCTCTCTGAGGCTCGGCTGAAAGCAGGTTTCTGGCCTTTGTTTTCTGTATTCGAAACAATATTGCGACTCTAGCTCTGAGATCCCGGCTGACTGACAGGAGGTTTCTGGAGTTTTGTTTATCTTCTATAAATGTTACTATGTTTCCAACTGAAGCTCAGAGGCCGGCTAGTGAGGCGGGGAACGTTGGAGTCCACAGCAAGCAAGCCTCATGTTCGCTTCCAGCTGCCTGGCTGCCGGCCGCCATCTTGGCTGACAGTTAATTTGCATAAGGATATGCTGATTAGCCAATGGGAAGGGTAGCGGTCGTACGCTAATTACCATGTTTCTCTTTTATTAGTGTAGATATCTGTTAGAGAATTTTGAGATGATCTTATAACTGTGCACCTATGGGAATACAGGGCAATCCAACCCGGAGAAACATCAATTGTACGGAAGTTACACAAATGATTAAAAGGGCAAAATCTGAACGATTTAGGCACCCTCTATGTTTCAAAACCAGTATAAAAGAAATGAAGAAAAAACAGCTGAATTTAAAAGCTCAATGCAGTTTTAGGTCTTTGATCTAGGAAAAAAACAGCATTCCTTCTGGAATGAGAATGGCTCTTATACTTGAGGAAAACACCTTTAAAGACAATGAGCTGTTTTGAAAGGCATAGTCTAAATGAGAGTGTTTTAGCCAAATAAAAGTTAAATAGTTCTACAAAACCAAGTGGAGGAAATGTTATTTTCTGACAGTTGGGAACACAAGGGATTTGAGAGAAGGATTGAATAAGATAGCAGTCAGCAAGGTCCTAAAGGGAAGACTAAGTAGAGACTAACCCCCCTTAGAAGAGATGACCATGAACCTCTAGGGGAGTGCATATAAATCACTGTCTCTTCTGAGGCATAATCTAAGCCCTCACCATACCCCCAACCTTTAGGGGACCCCATCACTCAGAATTGTTGGAAGAAAGGTGGCAGGAGAATGAATGAAGTAGAGTAGTCCTGAGAAGTAAACTAATGGGCTGTGGATTCAGAGTTCAACAGAAGCAGGAATTAGTAATAATCCTCAGGATTCCTCTTAAATCTAGGGAAAAACACAGACTTTGCCTTGCTTTTCCAACTGCTAATCATAATATGTGTGTGTTAATATCTTCATTAGTTTCATTAATTAACCATATATTATAGACTGCTGCTACTATATGAAGATGCAAAGATGAAGAGGAAGTACTTCCTATTTTTAAGATAAACACGATTATGATTATTGTGGAGAAGACAGACCAATAAACCAACATTGCAATCATTTTGATATGTCATAGTGTAGATATTGAGAGGGCATTTGAAAAGAAGAGAAGAAATGTTTAGCTCTAGAGATTAAGGAGGGTTAAAGGTAGAGAATGAATGAATTAATAAATCCTACACTAGTGCATTTCTTTTATTAAAATACTAGAGGCCCGTTGCAGGAAGATTCCTGCAAGAATAGGGCTTCGCTCCCGTCTCTGCCGTTCCTACCCTGCCCGTCTCTGCCATTCCTACCCCACCCATCTCTGCCACTCCTATCCCACCCATCTCTGCCGCTTCTCTCCCTCCCGTCTCTGCTGCTTCTCTCCCGCCCGTCTCCGCTACCTCGGCTCCGTTGCTTGGCTTCCTTCTATGGTGTCTTCAGTCTTCGCTCCCAGCCGGTATATGCAAATTAGCCACCATCTTTGTTGGTGGTTAATTTGCATATCACTCTGATTAGCCAATAGTGGACGTAGCGAAGGTACAGTCAATTTGAATCTTTGTCTATTATTAGATAGGATATTTTTATTGATTTCAGAGAGGAAGGGAGAGGGAGAGAGATAGAAACATCAATGATGAGAGAGAATCATTGATGGGCTGCCTCCTGCACACCCCCTACTAGGGATTGAGTCCCCAACCCAAGCATGTGTCCTGACTGGTAATCTAACTGCAACCTCCTGGTTCATAGGTAGATACTCAACCACTGAGCCACACTGACCAGGCCACTAGTGCATTTCTTTATATGAGTATCTTCTGTTATACAATGGAACTATTAGTTCAATTTTACCTGGTTGATAGGACCTTTTAAAAACATGTTTTGGTAGAAATCCTGTTTATTCTTAAGCATTTACAAGTCTTTTAAAATAACAGTGAGTTCTAGAATAACAGTATTTTAAAATAGAGACTTCAAATTCCCTTTCTTCCATTCTGGGCATTCACTGTTTCTAGAATTTAAGCCAAACCCAAAATAAGCCTTTTAGTCCATGCTATTAGGGTTTAACTTGTCAAAGAAAAAAAATAAATGGAAACTTAATGTGATTTGAATTTATTAGTACACAGGGTAAAGAATTCCAATTTTAAAGACTATGAGACAGGAAAGAGACTTGATATATGAGCCCAGAATTCAGTCTCACCAACTTCTAGAGGCAAATGGACAGAGATGACATTTTTAGGCTAGGATGACATACCTGACCTCAGTTAACTGATTATTTTGGTTGTCTTAATACAAACTAAAATAAAATTAATTTGCTTTCATTACTGTAATTTATTGAAAAGGCAGTTATGAAGTTTTATCTGTTCTATATACAGTTAAAGAATATAAACAAGAACATCTTTGTGTTCAAATGTAAAGCTATCAATAGCTACCAGCTGTAAAGCATTTCTTTAAGTTTTTCAAAATCAGCATAATTAAATTGAAATATATTTCATTATTAAACTAAGTTGTAAAAAAATTATTTCAAACAACTTTGAGATTTATTTTTATTTGTAGAATCAAGCCAATACACAGTAAAATTAAGAAATAAATTCACCACTTATTTCAATATAATGCCACAAGACATTTTTTTCAGTAAAGGACCAAATATTAGGTACAATACAAAACATTTCAACATCCATCAAAACCGGAATCATACAATTTCCTCAAGAATACACATTGAAATTCATCTATCTATAATAATAAAAGTGTAATATGCAAATCGAGTGAACGGCCGAACAACGGAACAACCGTCTGGACGACCTTCTGGACGAAGCCAGGGCTGTAAGGGCCAAGGCAGCTGGGGCTGCGAAGACCTGCTCTTGCATGAATTTTGTACATTGGGCCTCTAGTGTAGCATAATAAGCTAGGGGATATAGAACATGTGAATAATAGTTCCAAAAATAAAATACTAAATATACAACATTAATTCTTTAATACATTTGTTATAATGAGCTAATACATCATAGAATATGTCATAAATCCCATGATATAAGTATAACTACCTTCATGTGTGGAAATGCTAATTATTTCATATTAATAATAATTAATAATTATTCTGATATTACTATCAGATTTATTCTCAAAGTTTCTTTTCTGTATTTCCTAATTTGACCCTGGGACACAGAAATATTTAACTCGCTCCATGACACTTTGTTTTTATTTGGAATATAATCAATGTAAAAAGATGTGATGTGAGTTTATATTATATAAAATTAAAAAGTAAATAATGGCATTTAATATTGAGCCATAATATATATATATTTTTGATGTGACATACTATAGATAAAATATATTTTTATTCATGATAAATTACTATATCTAAAAATTGATTTAGAACAATATTTTTCAAATGCTTTGGTATGCAATGAAATCACACAACTTGTGTGACGCAGCCCATTTCGGTTGCCTTGAGAACATAACTCTTCTTATGAATAGTTCTTAAATTTTTGCTCAAATTTGAATAAAGAATTATTCTCTAATATTTATTGTTCTGTGTTACTCATGATTCCCGGTGTTGCTAACGACACTGAGTGTGCTAAAAGGGCCACAGGGAAGGAGAGAGAGGAAGTGGGGAATGGCTGCTTCTGCACCCCCTGGACTAGCATCCCAGCTGCCCTGCCTGGTCTTACTTTAAATAGAGCTGTTGCCTCCAGAATGAAAATCCATTAGGGCTCAGTTTATGTGGACTGAAAGGAGACTAATCTTTGATATCCGGGGCGAGGCTAGGCTCAATGTCTCCCTAGATAGCTCCAATTATGCTTTCGTGGTAGAGAAAACTCTGAAGCTATAATAATTTAAAGCTCTGCATGTCCAATTACATTACAAAAATGTATGTTTTAGAATCTAAAGTTTATAAAACTTTAATATAATTGGATTGCTTTACTTGTGCTATAACAGATTAAAGTTGTGTTTTTTAATCACCAATGGTTTGTTCATTCTAAGAACTGTAATCTGTTTAGGAGGGTACTGCATGTTATTAGGACGACTTGATTTTTCTTTTTCTCTTTAAAAACCACACCCTTCCCTTAATCATGGTTGAAGACTGCTTTGAAGAAATTCTGTATGTATGGCAAGTATATAATTAACCATCGAATTTCACTAATTTTCTTCACAGTTATGTTCCAAATGATATTTTAGTATAAAAGCTGAGTAGTTTTATACCTTGAAAATACATGTCTAAAAATTAATCCATTAAGTACATTATGTACTTTAAAATGTTATTTTTTCAGCATCAACTAATATTTATCAAATGCCCAGTAGACAATATCACCAGTTTCTCCCTGCAGGTGATTATCTATCAATCATTTCCCCATATCCACATAGATACATTAATATGGTGTACTTGCAGGATCTCCCAACAGATAACTCTGCAAAATAAAAGAAGGTGGTACAACACATTTGTTCTTAACTACAAGCCTAAACCTCGGAGAATAAGACCATATACTTGCTTAGTGCAGAACTAGCACTGGATCTCTGGGGTCTCCCCAGCCTTTGTTCTGTATCTCATCTCATGCATTTAAAAGGAGAAAACATGGCTGGGTAGGTTGATATGCACCTGATTTGATAGATGTTCCTAGAAGTAAAATTGAAACTGAATTGTTTTACATTTGGCAATCTATACCAAGAACATGAAGTTATTCTTTTGCAACTAGATTTAGAAAAAGAAGTGGATTCATCTTTTATCCAACCCAAAGGATTTCATTTTTGAACTATCAAAGGGAAGTTGTCGAAAAGCTGACAATGTTACAGAGGGCAGTGTTACTGAGATGCTGCCATGCCTCAACTAATAAAGAATTGATTAATTTAATTGATACCTCATATTGGAGAGTACCCTTTAAGAAACATATTTTTTATTTTTGAAAAGCAGACTTCTAAGACCTAAGGGCCTAATATCCATAGAACATTTGCAAACTTTTTTTTAAGGCATATCAATCCAGGGAGTAAAAGGCCTGAGAATTTGGAGAGGCAAGAAAATGAAGAGGAGTGAAGTTGCTGGGTTCAGGTTCTCACAGTGCAATCCAGTCCTCAGTTTCTTATCTACAGAGTTATTTAAAAATAATAATAAAACCACCAATACTATTAAAATAACTATTACTTCCTTTAAGAGATGCAAAATATTTATGATGTATCCTCAAATTATTGCATGGTCTCTAAGAAGGAAAAGGAGCCCGACAAACTAGTCAGAATAAACCCACTGAGTTCCATTAATAAAAAAAAGCAGTAACAGCAGCCAAATAGTGTTGTGATTTACCTCTGTTTGGAAATGAAAGAAACTGATGCTCTCGGCTGGCTTTGATTTACCTGCATTCAAAGGAAAGCAAGTTCTGTCTTTAAAGTTGGAAACGAGTTAGGCTAGAAGTCAGGCTCCGCGACGCTGGCAGTGCTTTCCAATGAATCAGCGAAGCTATATTTAAGTTTTAGGATTTTATATCCCAGACATGAAACCAACAAATTCTGGTTAATGAAAAGTAAACAGAAAAAGGCTGAGAGATTCTCAAGGCCCCAAGACTATAATAAAACAACTACTAGCATTTGTATAGCACTTGGCAGTTTATTTATGAAGATCTTTCACACACTTATTTCATTTAGTCCTCACAATGACTCTGTGAGGAGAGTGTTATCAACTCCATTGTACAGCCAAGGACATAGAGGCTTTATGTATTTTTAAAGAATTTGCCTAAAGTCATGCATTTAACAATGAAGAAAACCAGAGGAGGTACAGAGCAGTTTTTTTTTCTTCCTATCTCCCTCTGCATCCTGGTAGAAACCCTGCCTTTCTTCTACCCGCACTGTTAAAAGGGTGGGAGATGGGAAGGAAAGACCAAGTTATTTTTAATTAAATGCTAGGGGACATTATATATCTCGAGTCACTCTTTAGCAGACTTTCTTATCTATGAATCTGGACGCCCCAACCGTAAAGCAATGATCATGTTAATATCCAGCAAACCGTTTTGTTAAAGGGTATTGTCCAATAGCAGTGTTATAGTTTGACACTGGTCAAAACATGTTTACACTGTTCTAGAGAAAGTCTGCATAGTACCTTGGGCAATCCACTTCTACTTTTCTAATAAAACTGAGTATTCCTGATACAAATGTGAATTTAGAACGACCTTGCAGGAGAAGAAAAGGATTATCAGTGAGTTGACACATTTTTCCAACCTTCTGCATCTTAGTCCGTTGGCATTTCACAACCAACAAAGCATGAGGAACCAAAAGGAGGGAACTGCCAGTTCTAAACTTCCTGTTTTGGAATTTTAGGTGATTTATAGCTTCTAATAAAACTTTCTTCTTTCCACTCTGAACCAGACACGCCCCTGCTCATGCTTCTCCAAGGCACCATCCCATCTCTAGGCCACTGGTTGAGGCTGCATTTTCTGATGTATAAATTGATTTTATTGAATGGAAACAATTTCTTTGATGTCTTTTCTAATTTGTTTCCAACTCTAACGCTAATGGATGGTGAGCTCACTTTGTTCAGAAATAAGGCCCCTACATTATATGACTTCTAAACCAATCAAAGCTTAGTTATATCAGAAGTAAAAAGAGAAGAAACCAACAATAAAATATAACGTCAGGATGGTCAAGATTTTTCCTTTAGAAACATCTGTTATATTTCCTTTAGGAACTTGTTATATTTCTGGGAATTAGGCCTGAACATTTTAGTGTTGCATGTTTTTATTATCATTCTGTATAAACCAAGTCATAGCATTTGGTCATAGCAATATGAAAATGCAACCAGAAACACAGTCTTATACCCAACAAATTGACATATGCTTATCTGATGTAGTTCATTTGTTCTCAAGATTGTGAGCTGGATTCAGCCAATGGGCAAGAAAGTCTGTCCCAAGAGTCAGTTGCATGAATGAGGGGCTCAGGTTGAAACAGGAATAAATTTGATGAACTTGGAAGATTTAGGTGAGTCCTTCCAAGCACCCATACTGTTTGTCGGGCTCCGGTTCATAGTGTAAGAAGTCTGTCTTCTGCTCATACTGTCAGAATCTTCTTTGTTGAATGCTTGCTTCATGTTGTGGCAGCACAGGAAGCTTTGGACACAGTCTTGCAGGAGATGGCCACTAAAAAACATGTATATCCAGGGGTTGCAGCAACTATTCAAGGAAGCCAGCAATGCAGTGATGGTGGTGGCCGGGTTTTCCGAATCTAGGCAAAGCATAAGCGGAGATTATTCAAATAGTCAAATGCAAGTAACCGAGCACTGGATAAATTTATTTTTGTATTGACTAATGAAGGTAGGAAAAATTTATGGGTTAATATAGAAAGTGAAGACTTTTGTTTATCAAGCAGGTAAATAGGTGGTATATGGAAATTGCTTGGCTATAAAATATTTTTGTAAGGAAAATGCCTTGAAATGAATTCAGATATTTAAAAACACAGTTAAAATGTTTAAGTAGCCCTAACCGGTTTGGCTCAGTGGACAGAGCGTCGGCCTGCGGAGTGTAAAGTCGCAGGTTTAATTCCGGTCAAAGGCATGTACGCTGGTTGTGGGCACATCCCCAGTGGGAGGTGTGCAGAAGGCAGCTGATCCGATGTTTCTCTCTCTTATCGATGTTTCTGACTCTCTATCCCTCTCCCATCCTCTCTGTAAAAAATCAATAAAATATATTTTAAAAAATTAAAAAAAAAATGTTTAAGTAGAATAAGTAAGTGGGATTTTTAAGAGGTTAAGAATATTAAGTAACTTATTTTTAGAAGTTTGTATCCTTTGTTCTAGTACCAGCATGTGCTAAAGGACGCAGCACTTACAGAACTGCTTCAATTGCAATGAAATTTCAAGAGTCTATAACCATATACATCAAATTGTATCCATCCCAATAACTCAGGCAGAAGTATGACATCCTGCACTGTGTTTAGTAGTTTTAAATTTTTAAATATTAAAACATATTCTTGTAATAACAAAACTATACAGAAGGGGATAGTTGAAATAGGTCCCTGAAGGATGCAATACTTAGTTGTTTGTTTGTTTTTTGGTTAATTAGATAATTCTTTTAATTTAAAAAGAAAACCATCTTTGATTGTGGTTTAAAAATTAAATTATATTAAGAACAGTTGAATTAGGAAATTCTAACAGGCTTTTGAAACATTTTATGTTATTTTGCCTTGTTAAACTTGCATACGTATTATAATCTTTCACTTTCACACTAGGACAATAGGTAATACGCTTTTTCTGAAGATAACAGTAATTAGCAAGCACTGACTTTCCTTTGATTATAAAACACAAGCTGGGGCTTCTCACTCATGCTATGCTAGAATAAATTACAGGTTATTTAATCATACTTTGTGCTAAGATGCTATACTTTTAAAGATGGTCATTATCCATGGCTAAGAATATTCAAAAAAGAATGGAAATCATCAACATACTTCCATATAAGTGAAGAATATTTTAGTAATCATGTCTCAATTCCGATAAGTAGTTATTAGACTGATTTTTTAATTTGATTGGCAATAATTAGGAGGCTGCTAAGACCAAGGAAGACAGGAAATGGTAAACCAAAAATATAGCATTTATGTTGTATTTTTCATCAGTAATATTATAGTCATGCATGATTTTTCATTCTTTGAATTAAGTTCATGCTCAAATGTTTTATTTGCACATATAAATTCCAAGGTATTTCACATATACTCCCTAGTGAATCCCAAATAACAAGAAGACAGTTGTTCCCAGATACCCATTTCCCAACTACAGTTGTTGGTAATATTGCTGTAATACAGTTCTTTTGAAAGTTTTTTTCTTACTAAAAGGAAATATATTTTTCAAGATACAGTATTAAATCATTTCTTTTGGGGTACAATTCTAGTGAAATTAGTTTTTCTAGTTTGTGAAGGAACTAAAATCAAACAAGCTAGTAGGTATAGGGAACATTCTTCGTAAACTATTGCAAAGGTTGCATGAAGAGGTGTATAGCTGTGTGGTCAAGTTACTACTGAGAGACTAATTAATTAGTTTAACAAATTTAGAGTTCATTAATAATTCTGCTTTGAAATCCTCCCAAAGAATGTTAAAGTAGTTGTTAGAAAAGGATTATAAGAAATGGAATACTAGCTAAATGCCAAATTAGAATTACTGACTTCCTAAGACTTTTTTTTTTCAGAAAAAAAATATGTACATTTCACCCTTGCCACAAAATGTTTATATTAATTGTGATACTTTTCACAAGCTAACAAAAAGCAGTTGTGACAGTAAAAATATTTCCTTAAATCCAATAGATTTGAAAGCAAGGTGATTAACACAGAGGTTAGTGATTGGCAAAAAGTCATTCATATATGCATTGCCCATGGACACAAAAAACTGTGCAAATGGGGGCAAATGGAGATCATCTGTAAAAGTGTTTATAATAAAAAAAACAAAAGTTTAGAATGGTTGCTGAATTCAAAATCAACACATAGCAACAATATATCTATAACCAGCAGCAACCAGTTAGAATGTAATTAAAAAATAAACTTACCATAGCATTAACAAATATAAAACTCCTAGGAAGAAATCTAACACATGAAGGCCTTTATGGAGGGGAATTATTAAAGTTTATTGAGAAAAAGGAAGTCATCCTGTCTTGGAGTTGTGTAGCTCACTTTAGGGCACAGTTTCTGGATTTGTGGTCCCGGGATCTCTGCAAGCTACAAATGCAGATTCCTGGGCCCCATTCCAGAGCTACTGAATCAAAACGTCTGAGGTGGGGACCCCAGGAACATGCCCTGTTGAGAATTTCAGCCAAGGTGTAATTCTCATGCACAGAGAAATTTAAGAAAAACTGTCCTAGGGGATATTATGAAAAGAACCCGCCGCCCCCTCAGGACTCCATCCCAGCACCTTCCTCCATGGTCCCGACACCTACCGACCCAGGGGAGCTGCTCATCCCAGACGGACCACATCTGGACGACGAAGAAGGGCGCCCAGCAAACGATGTAGGCCGTCACGATCACGAAAGTCATCTTCACCGTGCGGATCTTGGCGCGGGAGATGATCTTCACGCTGCTGACACAGGGCTCGAGCAGGAGCCCGTTGTGGAAGGCGCCGCCGGTGCCCTCGGCGCCCTTGCCCTCGCGGGGCACCGTCTTCCCGCGGACGTTGCGCCAGATGTGGTAGCAGATGAAGCCGTAACAGGTGCCCAGGATGATCACCGGCACCACGAAGACGCCGCTCGTCATCCAGGTCACATAGGCGCGGGGACCCCAGGGCTGGATGAAGCTGGCCCAGCAGTCGCAGGCCTTGGTGACGTTGTCCACCTCGATCACGGAGAAGACGAGGTACTGCGGCGTGCTCAGCACGAAGCTCAGCGCCCAGGCGGCGGCGATCATGAGGCGCGAGCGGCGCGCGGGCTGCTGCAGCGTCTTCAGCGGGTGGCACACGGCGATGTAGCGGTCCGCGGTCATGACGACCAGCATGTACGCCGACACGAACATGACGAACACCTGCAGGTGCTTCACCACGCGGCACAGCCCGTCGGGTCCCCGGAACCGGTAGGTGATGTCCCAGCACATCTGCGGCAGCACCTGGAAGAAAGCCACCGCCAGGTCCGCCAGGCTCAGGTGGCGAATGAAGAGGTGCATGCGGGACGTCTTGCGAGGCGTGCGGTGCAGCGCCAGCAGCACACTGCTGTTCCCCAGCACGGCCACCACGAAAATCACGGCTAGCACAGCGACCTCCACCTTGGCCAGCTCCTCGTTGCGCCCGTCCCTCGGCGGATCCCCGCCTTCCCGAGTGGCGTTGTCCCCGCTGGAGTTGCCTCTGGCGAAACGCATCCTGTCCGGGCAGCAGCACCTCTTGGACCTCCGCGGAGGCTCGCTCCCTTCCTGCCTCCGCGGGCGTGCGCTCCTGACCCGCTGCGCTCTCTCCTGCCCGCACTCGCCGCTCGCGGGGCTCCGCTCTCCCTCCCGCAGGCGTCTCCGGGCGCAGCGTGCCACCGGCCAACTGAGCTGCTCTCCGCTCCGTCAGCCGCCGCTTTTCCTGCTCTTCCCTTACTCAACTCAGAGGAAGCTGGGGAGGTGCGCTCCGAGCCTCTGAAGGCAGTGGGCTCCTAACTCAATTATTTAGGCGGGGTTTGTTTCCCCAGAATGCGCGCTCTCTCGCCCTAGTGGTTGGAGACGGCTCGCTGCCCACTCTCCCCACCTCCCTACCCGCTTCCGGGGAGGGGGGATTATTTTCCTGCCTCACGTCGGTGACTGGTCCTCTTTGCATCACAGCTGCAGGGGCGGGACGGGAGACTTGCCTATTCCTCCGCATGATATGCGGGGTCATATCGCTTTCCCGCTCTTCTGTTCCAAAAATCTTGGTGAACAGGACGTGTCATGCCTTTTCTGGGATTGCCACCATTTCCTCAAGCCCCCTCAAGAGCCACCTTAGCCCCTCATTTGACTCAAACGGACGTGGTCAATACCTTTCCTAGAAACCCCGAGTCCACTCTGCGGGGCGCGCGGCTCTTGCGCCTGACCTTGGCGCAGGACTCCACCCCCTCCAGCCAGGTTTCACTCTCCGGGGTGCAGGGAGCCTGACTCCTTTTGTTCCCAGAGAAATGTGCTTCGGGAATTCTCTCTCTTCCTGCCTCGCCACTCCCCACCCTCCTCTGCTGGGTAACAAGCGGGTGCCTTAGAGGGTGCGCTCTCCCCAGGAACTTGTTTGCCGGCTCTCTGCTCCCCTGCCCACGTTTGCGGAGGGGAGGGACGCACTCACTCGTCCCACCCAGCCCTCGGCCGCCGTGCGTGTATCTGCAGCCGGGAAAGGGACTGTCTCCCGGCTTTCCAGTTTCCCCCGGGGTGGGGTGGGGTGGGGGATGGGAGGAGACGTAGGAAGTTTTCTCTAAGCTAGATTCCTGGGGTTTTCTCCCGGGAAAAGCCTGATTCCCACAGGGGGGATGCGCGGGAATTGGGCCACAGTAGTCCGTGGGGACATCGCCTGGTTACTGCTAAATCGTGGGGACATCTCTTCTAGTGGACAGAAAGCAGCTGCCGGAGGACAGCCACCCAGGCGGCGCTGTCCAGGGCACCGGAGCGGAAAACTGCCAGGCTCCTGAGCCGGGGGTGGGGGAGTTGGGGGACGGGCAAGGCAATCTCCAGGCAGGAAGGAGGCGCTGCGAAGGAAGAGAGAAAAGACCTGTTAGTTACTAATTAGTTAGTTACTCTGGACCGCTGGAACTCAACTGCAGGCCCAAGCGACGCAGAAATACTGTTAAAAGAGCCTTGCGTTTTAACTTTAGTGAAGATATGCTTTGAAAGACAGCAAGGGGGAGCTGTTTTCAGGCTATTGCAAAAAAGAAAAGAACCTACTCTGCAGATACAGGAACATGACTTTTTATTTTCTTAATCAGAATGTTTGTGTATTGTGGCCATGGTATAAATTTGTCTCAGAAAAATATCAGTGAAATGTAGGAACAGAAACCAAAGCCTTTCTGAGGTGCAGTTCTCAGCGGTAATTCCACTTTGCTTCCCAGTTCATTCATGCCGAGGCCCAAGGCTGTGACATTAAGGATGCTAGACTTGACCTTTCGAGTCCGGCTTCACTGTGGCTGTATAAACCTCAATTGTACATCTTAAAAATGGGAATAAAAGGACCTGCTTTACCTACTATAAGGTCATCGTGAGAAGTAAAACAGTGTTCTGTGTGGGGAAACGCTCTCAAAACTACAGGCTCTGTTGCCTTGTTTCGTGTTCTCCAAGATGTTTTAAGAGGGAAAAGATTTTAAAAGTTCAGAATGGCAATAAGTAAAAGGTTTCCAGACCACCTGCCTGGAAAAATCCTTTAAGCAATTGGGTCACTGACTTTGAGAGGTGACCTCCTTTTAAATAACAAATTACATTAGTGCTCCTTATGAGAAATACCATAATGTCTGTCCCTGGGTATTGCAAAAGTGGTCCATTGACCAGACCCCGGCAATTCACTGCTCTTGGCCCTACACCATGGAGTACAGTATTTAGGTTTCCTAAGGGGAGGGAATCTGCAGTATAGCGTCACTAAAGTTCCTTTGGGTCTGCCAGCTGCTAGACAAGGCCTGCCAGCCGGGGCCTGCCAGACAAGGCCTGCCGGATGGGGGGAAAAACCATGGGAGGTTTGCTGGCCGGGGGGAGGGACCGGAGGAGGTTGGCTGCACATGGGAGGTTGGCTGTGGGAGTGCACTGACCACCAGGGGGCAGCTCCTGAGTTAAGCATCTGCCTCGTGCTCATCATAGTGACTGGTCGACTGGTCATTCCGGTCGTTCAGTCATAATGGTTGCTTAGGCTTTTATATATATACTAGGGGCCCAGTGCACAAAATCGTGCATGGGGAGGGGAGTCCCCTCAGCCCAGCCTGCACCCTCTCCAATCCGGGACCCCTCAGGGAATGTCTGACTGGTGGTTTAGGCCTGATCCCAGCAGTTGGACATCCCTCTCACAATCTGGGACTGCTGGCTCCTAACTGCCCTCTCCTGCCTGCCTGCCTGATCAACCCTAACTGCCCCCCCTGCTGGCCTGGTCACCCCCAACTGCCCCCCCTGCCGGCCTGGTTGCCCCACGCAGCCTGCTGTTCAGTCGTTTGGTCGTCCCTCACTAACCCCCTGCTGGCCTGGTCGCCCCACACAGCCTGCTGTTCAGTCATTACTGTGATGGAGTCCTGGACAATTTGCATATTCCTCTATTATTAGTATAGATAGATAGGATAAGAAGCAATCTTACATCTGTTAGCAAATTCAGTTCCGCATTCCTGGCGTCCTATCTATTATGCTTCTTGAAATTCACCCCTGAACAGATTTTAACATCTTCCTGGTTCCCTTTTTAATTAATATGTTAAATAAAACTTTAGCATATTTTATTTAACATTTGTATGAGTCTCGTGATTTTCTTTAAATTTTTTTATTTCAGCAGCCCTTTGTGGTCTTGGGAATATGACTCTCTCCTTGCTACATCCCATGCTGAGGTTCCTGGCTTTTCTAGCTGGTCATCTGTTCTGTTACAGGCAAGGCAGGCGATGGCTCCAGGGTAGAGGTGAGGGAGGAACACTCAATGTTTTCCTTTGCGTTGGCCCCTCTTCTCTCTCTCTTTTTAAAATATATTTTATTGATATTTTAGAAAGGAAGGGAGAGGAATAGAGAGTTAGAAACATCGATGAGAGAGAAACATCGATCAGCTGCCTCCTGCACACCCCCTACTGGGGATGTGCCCGCAACCAAGGTACATGCCCTTGACTGGAATCGAACCTGGGACCCTTGAGTCTGCAGGCCGTCGCTCTATCCACTGAGCCAAACTGGTTAGGGCACCCTCTTCTCTCTTACCAACACTGCTCATCCTCTTAGACCAGTGATGGCGAACCTTTTGAGCTCGGTGTGTCAGCATTTTGAAAAACCCTAACTTAACTCTGGTGCCGTGTCACATATAGAAATTTTTTGATATTTGCAACCATAGTAAAACAACGATGAACATTTTTGATATTTATTTTATATATTTAAATGCCATTTAACAAAGAAAAATCAACCAAGAAAATGAGTTCGCATGTCACGTCTGACACGCGTGTCATAGGTTCGCCATCACTGTCTAGACTACTCAGATCCACCATCTGTCCCCAGCTTGATTATTTACTTTAGAATTCCTACCCTTCATGAAGACTAACTGCCTGGCCTCCTCTGTAAGTCCTCCACTACTCTTCCCCCATTGTTTTATCTCCTCTAGGTCTGTATGGAGTAAATCATGATGGACGATCTCAGATTCTTCCTGCTTAAACAAACTGAAATATCATATATATTCTATTGAATTCACCCTGGGTATGACTAGGGACACTCTATAAAGCCTTCTCCTTTCAGAATTCCAAGCTGGAAATGGGATACAAGCCTTTTCTACTTTTGGGTTTCCAAATTTATCTAAGAGTTTCTTTTCTTCCTTCTGGAGGTTTCAAAGTTAAAATGTAGTAGGCAAAAAGGAGAGTCCCACCCTAAGATGTAATTTTTTTTTATAATCTTTTCTCCTCTCCGTAAACTCCTCGCTGCTTTCTAGAAAGGGTTCTTATTAGGTGGGAAAACTCTTCTTCAGTCTTACATGCAGAATCCTCCTCCACTCTGTTATCCACGACATGATAAACTCTGTTCCAGACACCAGCCCGGATTTTCTCTTGAAATGCAAATCCAGGTTTTGAAATAACTAAAAATTCACACCCCCCACCGCCCAGGATCCTGGCATTTGCAAATCAAACATTCTTTGAATTTTATGCTTTTTATCTGCAATGGACTTAGCTCTATTTTAAAGTTCAAAGCTGAACAATGACTGATTTCAGGATAGATTTGCACCTCCTCACTCTTTTCCTCCCCTTATTCCCTTTTACATACACTCACAGAGCAATGAATGATGCTTTTTACACTAGGAGAAATGCTGCTGGGCAACTTGGAAAAACTAAAAATTACTGAGAATAAAAAATATATCAGTTGATATTTTCAAATATTTCTGCAAGCATCATTAATTTTCAAGATATGAAATAGTATTAATGCACTTTCTTCTCATTGTTGTTCTAAATGCGTCTCAAAAATAATCTTTTTGAACTTCACCCAAGGAGTTATGGGTCAGATAAGAAAATGAACCAATAAGCCTTCTATCTGGTTTCCCATCCTTCTTTTCATTTTGATCCAGATGTTTGAGAATATTAATGTTCTTATTGCAACTAATAATTTGAACTCTCTCAGAGGATAGAATTTGGAAATAATCCTATTTTAAGATATTAAAATGAATGAAAAGTATAAACGCTTATAAACACTGTTACACTCTCCAAATGTTTCTTGTTAAGGATACAGGGCTTCTCTTTTAGAAGTGTTTTAGATATTTTAATACATTTTATGAGCTAGCATAAGCCAGTAGTTACCAGCTTTTCTCCAATCCCCAAAGCACCAAGAGATCTGGCCTTTACCCATAACTAGCCATTGCTTTAGGACAATGATTTCATGGAAAAGAAAAAGGAGAAGGCATAGTAGAATTTTTGGGAAGCTGTATGAAGAGAGACAGTCTAATAAGATCTTGTGTAGTTAAAAAATGATTCTGAAATATTTTTGAAACTCCTCCCACACACTCCCACTGAAAGAGGAGTCCACCCTCCTAAGATATGTAATTTTAACGGAGTATTTTTAATTTCATCCTGTGCATATTGTGTTAAACAAAACAATAAAGGCTGCAGGCTTTTAGAAAATGTACTTTTAATTAAAAGCAACCCAACATGAAAAACCTATGTTCCCCCTTTCCTCTAACATTTAAAATTTTCAATGGAGTCTTTTCTGAAACATTTAAATAAACATCCAACATCATGAGAGTTCTTTATTTTGGGAGGTTTTTAATAAATCTGAAGTACAGAATCTTACTAATCTATTACTACTCATT